GGGCCTTGGTGTGCTGTAGCCTTGGGTTTTGGGCGTTACTGCAACAACCTTGGCAGTGAACCGGCTGCTTCAGTTGGACATGAGTATTCAAGACGACAGGCGTCCAATGAGTGGTGGACTAGGTCGACGAGCGACCCAAGATTCCCAACGGAGGTCCGAGAAAAGACAGGGGCCTCGAGATTGTGCATTAGGTTGAAGAGGTTGCGTAAGTAGCCATTTGGCTGGCTTGACGCAGCATGAGATCCTGACAGCTGCAAAAACGAAAGTACAAGGCGGAAGAGGAGGAGGTTGCAGCTAAGCAGTTGGCACGTAATCCTCGTCGGAGACGCTGAGAGGAGTACTTGGCAGGTGAAGCGGCCGTGAGTTGGCTCTGTGTGTCTGGGTGCAGGCGTAGGCAGAAGCTGAGGGAGGTGGGATGCCGTGCGGTGCAATGCAAGGCAGGCTCGAGCTGATGCTCGTGCTGATGATGGAGGAGGCAATGCTATCGATGGTGAAGCCGTTGGCGTTTGCCAATGGATGGCACTGATGATGATTGATGGTGGTTCCGGGAGGCGATGAGGGGAGCGTGTTGCTGCGGGTTGCACGGGTACAGGATGGTGCAGTTCCTGGGACGACGGCAGCAGTTTGTGTTTCGAAACATGGGATTCTAGAAATCGGGGGGAAGAACCACAGACGATGTTGGAGCAGCATTGATGGGAGCCAAAGAATGCCGAGTCGATCGAGGGTAGGTTGATTTACGATGTCAGGTTGCAGTGCCGTCGTGTCGGAGCATGGTCCGGGTGTGACGGGAGAGTAAGGAAAAGGCAACCTCAGTCCCAACAGCAAGGGACGTGGAAGGAGCCAAAGGAGCGCAAAGGGAGACCTTGCGCGAGCGCACCTTACCGGAAATGGGATCGACCAAGAAAGAAGTGAAAGTCACGGTAAGGTAGCGACTGCCTTAGTCTTCAGGGAAATTTACGTTAGGAAGGCACGGAGGTGAGCGAGCCACGAGCGTGATGGGGACAGAACGGAGGTCGTGCCTGCCGTCGGGGTGCCGGGTCAACTTAGGGCAGGTTGTCTGCCCACGCCTGCCCTGAGCTGGAAGAAGTGGGGTCAGTCCCCAGGACTCATCCTCCTGCTTAAGGCAAGTCCAGTCCATTTGAGGGGACGGAAAGCACAGCCGCCCGTCGTGTGGTGTTCCCTGCCGTTCCTGCCGTCCCCATCGCCCCGCCTCCTTCCTTGTGCTCCGTCTTTTCCCACGGCCGCGGTGCGCTTCCGTGCCGTGTCAAGTGGGTCTCGGCCATTTTTTCTGTGCAGCTGGGGGTGATTCCTAAGGCAACTCCCATCGCGGTAAAGTGACTTGTACATGATCTTACCTTCTACCATTGAGAGAAGCTATCTCACCTGCTACACCTCACTAGAGTGAGCTTCTATTTTTTCACCCTCCTTCAGGCATCTCGACATGTGCTCAAGGCATCAGCTCTGTGCTGTGCATGTCCTGAGATCAGCTAGAAAGAACCATCATGCATGCCTTGGGTCCCAACTTCATGCTGGGGCAAGAGCGATCCTTACCTAGGTGTAACGTAGGTAGATACTGGGATGCTCCGCTTCTTTGCTTCCTTTGCCTCCGACTTGGCCACGCAATTCAATCCGTCTGCAAAGGATCCGATTCTGACTCGAACCTGCGTCGTCGATGGCTTACCCAGGATACCAAGGCCACTTTGACCACCACAGAATAAGACTAGAAATCGGCAAACTCACCTCATAACTTCTGTCACATCAAAGTCTAGAAGCGGCTCTTGGGGGCCTGGGACCTCTCTTGTCCGTACCTTATCCTTTCCGCGGATAAGGTAAGGCAAGGCAGAGGTAAGGTAGCTGAGGTACTCTGAGCTCTGTGCGGGGGCCCCGGGCCACTGGCCAGCAGTTTGACTGATGCAGTACGCTGCGAGAGTTTCGGCAGGCGTCAACGTGTCGTTTGTCTCCTCCTGTTCGTCTCAGGAACTGCGGGAATTGCGTGTTCCCGTCAATCATCGTGGTGAGACGCTGGAAACTCTGCGGCGCCCTGGGCGCGGCGGCGAAGGCGGCCTCTGCTCGGCGACACTTCAGCCACCTTAGCTGACAGGAGGGGGACAGCCATCAATGCTGTCGAAGGCGCAGTGGTTCTGAATCGCTGCTTCATCCGAATCATGTTGGGTTCGAGTGGAAGAGGCAAGCGGGATAGCGCCATGAAGAAAACTGCCCAGAGGGCCTAGGGGTGATGGGAAAACTTAGGAACATAGTCTCAAAGAGGAAAGCAGAACGTGGAAACACGATGCGCCTTGGCTTCAAGTGGCTTCGGACCTTCGGACCACAACGGCCACAGCTGTTATGAATAAGACGAGGTTTGAGAAAGAAAAAGTTGAAGATGGATGACGAGCACACTTCAGATCGGAAAGCGGAGAAGAGGGCATTCAACCAAACTCTTTTTGCAAGATGCTCATAGGATACGAAGAAATCTGAATCACGATAACGGGCCGTAGGATTGGCAGTTCGCCAAGCGTGGACGCCACTTGGTGGGTGAGCTCCCCGTCTCTGATCATATCTGCTATCCGGAGCTTCGAAGTCTTTGCTTTATCTCGGCCGATGTTCCGGTACTTTGCGTCCAACACGAATGGGACCGTTGCTAGCCAACCTACCCTGCGATGTCTCTCCATGGGCCTCGTATTTGTCCAAGTACGTACATAGCTTGCTAGTCAACTGGAGGGAGCAGTCTATGCACACAAATCGTGCATCTTGTACACAAAATGTTATGCTTGGGAACATGTGGACATTGTGTGTTAGAACCGGGTGACAAGTTGTCATGGTTTTGGATCTGAATCCGAATCTGAATCTGGAGCAAGACACAAGACAAGAAACAAACGCTTTGTCCGCAACCCGCGGCTTTGCAGGAGTCAGTCGTACTTCATTTTGCCTGTCACGGAGACGGAAAAGGAAAGGAAATAGCATCTGGCGGCTGTCCCTAGGTACTGTAGTCTCTGATCCGCACCCAAGGAGACCACATGCACCTTGGATACATGTGCATCAAGAGTAAGAAGCGTGCATGTTGCTTACATTGGACACTGGCAGCATATTCGGGTACCGTCTTGCCAGGACTACGTATGGCTATCGGCACGGTGTCTGGAATATGCATGTCACGCAATGTTCCATGGAGTCATGTTGAGACCGTTGCCGTGTTGTAGATCGTGCTCTAAGATTCCATACAATCAAGGCAGTTCGTATATCAATGTATCTAGAATCAAAGACTAAAAATCAGTGTAAGCAAGGTGAGCAAGTCTCGGTCAGGTATTAGCAAGAGACGAAGATTTGGAAGGGAAAGGCAAAGGCAGGGAAACCTTGAACACACCACGGAAGCCGCCCAATTGCTGGTTACGTACCTCTCTGTGTGAGGTCCAAGCTTCTTCCCGCAGGAGGAGGCAAGATACGTACTCTGTGAAAGGAGGCAGGGGGGGCAAGGGCGAGGGGGGAGATCTCACCCCATCCGCACCGTTTACTCAGGGACCCCCTGTCTCTGTAATTGCAGGGGTCTTCAATCCCCCTGCTCGTGTCGTGCATGGTTAGGCTCGTGGCCCCACCCTATCTTTACCCTCGCCTTTTTGGAGAACTGGGGACGAGTGCGAGGTACCTTGGGTACGGATGGGAAGTTGTGAAGAAGACTTGAGAGGCAGCGAACAGCAACGTGCACCAGCTAAGGTAAGGTAGGCCACTGACCAAGGCAGAGGCAGTGGGAGCTCTAAGGCAAGCGAGATATCGCGATGCTGCATGAGGCATGAGGCAAGTGGCACATTTACAGCAAGTGTGGGCCAATATGAAGACGCTATCGGCGACTTAATGAGGGCGCATTGCAGCTGAAAAAGCTGCAGAATTACGGTGATCCCACGAAACAGTGAGAGACAAGTAGGAGGAGAAGGAGGAGGAGGAGGAGCTCGTAGTCGAGTCACATGGCCATGGAGAATGATAGACATGGAGAGATTTCCTCGAAACAAGGCGCCGAAGAATACCAGCTAAGCACCTTAAGCAAGATGAAGCGGAGGTGATTCTGGGTCTTATCGGTTGGCCGCCTCTTCCTTTTCCTCACGTTACACATTCATTATTCCGTACCAAGGTCATCAAGTATGTGGGTATCCTCACAAAGACAACGATTGATGAAGAACAAACATCCGTACGGCAGGGATACCTTATTACCATGAGGTAAGGAAAGTAAGCGACCTGATACTTGTCTCTCAAAGGAAAATTAACGGACGGCCTGTCATGGCGAGGGGGAGAAAGTAAATCGAGAAAGAGAGAGTGTGAGAGAAAGAGAAAGGCACGGAGAAACGGTACTTGACACGAGGGACATGTTGGAACCGTCATCTTACCTAAGCCCACCACCCATGTCCAATCATCTACCGTCGCCCGAGGTACCGTTCGCTGTTGTCATCTTTTTGCCCAGGCAAGGCCCCAAGGCGGCAAGGCCCCCCCTTCTGGGTGCGGTTCACTTTCCCATCACCCCATTCGCCCTCTTGGAAAAGGTACTTTGTCTTTTTCCACCTCACCCTCTCTCACCTCCACTGGCAGTCTGGGACTTCACACATCCGAATCTGACTCTGACATGCCACTTCACCTCAATTGCCCTCCGCTCTTCGTTTCTTCCTTTCTTTCTTAACAGTGTTTTTGATTTTACCCCAGAGACATGGATTCCTCTTAGCTTCTTTTCCGCCTCTCCACCTCCACCTCCAACTCCCCGACATCATCATCTCTCGCCCGTACCCGCGGCCCCCGTGTCAACCGTGTCTTTCAACTTTGCAGTCCGTCCCTCGCTACCGATTTCCCCCTTGTCCATCGTCTTTTCAAGCTCGTCCTCCCGCTCGCCCTTCTTCTTCGTCGTCCTCGCACACATATTCGTCCTCGGACCAATGCCTGGTCTGTTCCAACCGGCCGAGCCAATCAGCCCCAACGTGCGAGCACATCCGCCTGCCGTCGGTTGCCCGGCATACTTCCCTACGGACAGGCCCAAAGGAAAGTATCTCGTCCCTCTTTTGTTGATCAAGGTACAGACAGTCCCGTCTTTTCGAGCCTTCGATTCTTCTCCCCGAAGCAACGTCCACCCTTAACGTACGGCCTATCCTAATCCCTGCACTTGGCTCCTTGTTCCTATCTCAGTTCCACTGTCCACCCCACCAGCTTGGTTCGGACCTGGGTCTGAGCTGACCGGATACCTTACTGCCCACAGATACGCCTGGGCCCTTCTGGCCTTGCCCTGCCTTACCTCACCTTACCTTGCCTCGCCTTGCTTTGCCTCGCTGTAGAATCTTACCGTACCGTTCTATCTTCCGTGCTTGCGGAGCTTCGCCTTCCACAAGGCACCTGGAAGACTCAGTGTATCCATACCAAGTAAGAATACTGTGTATGGACATGGCATGCTGAGCATAATCCACAGTAAAGGTAGCCCGCGTCATCACCCTCTGCTCCCACTTCCTTGTCCTAGTTGTTGTTTCTGACCATTTTGCTTTTTACCACGCCAACTTGGAACGAACCGTTTACTACCGTCCCACCTCTTTGCCTTACCCAAGGGCAGGGTATCCTGTCCTTGACCGGGCCCCAGCTCAAGCTCACCAAGCTCTAGATTCAGCACACACCACCACCATCACGGCAACCATCATGACCCTCATCAGCAACAGCCTTCACAACACGACACCGGAGCACAGCGCAGTTTCTGGGATATGCTTTTCAGCACAAACCAACAGATGCCGTCTCCTCCAACCCACCCTGCCTTCTGCCTTTTTATTCTCCTAGTTGTCTGCCCACCAAGTGGATGGATGGTCATGGTGCCCCCCATCATCCGTCCACTCAACCCTTGAAGTAAAGAAATCAGGGTCTCATTATGGGGAACTCCATATGGATTGATTGCCGGCAGCACTTGCGTTGTCTCCAGAGCTCCGTGGGGAAGCTGGGGAAGCTGGAAATGGCAACGTCCAACGTCTATCACCAGCCAGGTAGGTAGAATATCCATCTGAATGGCTTCGGTAGCTGCTCCCCTCTCTTCCCACATCGGCCCAAAGGGGTGCCACCTACGTTGTCTGCATGCCCAGACAAGGCTTTATCAGGCCCAAACCGTCCAAGCCTATGCTTCGAATTGGTCTGGTTTGGTTCTTTCTGTTGTCTTTCGCTCTGCACCTCGCTGCCGGCTAGCTGCCGAGTACTCAACCTCCCCGGTCAGTTCACTTTGTCCAAGCGGTCGAGCGAGCTCTGGCCTGCTCAGGAGAGACTTATCCAATGCCCTTTGCACTTGAAGCCCAAGGGTCTTTGCGTGCGAGTGAGCCAACCAACCCATGTCCACACCAATGGACGAGTCCAACGTACCAAATGGGCGTTTACATGGGCCGTTTTCTTTTTCCCTCAGACTGCCTGTCCGTCTACTCTCATTCTCACACTCACACTAGCAACCAGAATACGTACAGGTACGGGGTACACACTGGGGGAGCACCTTATGCTCAGCCAGTCTCTCACCTCTTCTGATTGTGTCTCTCTCTCTGCCTTCTCTGTCTCCCTCCAGGGTGGGTAATCAAAAGTCGAGCAAGGTCGGTCAACTTTTGAACCAATTTGTCCACGCCCTCTTTCAAGGCCACAGCCCCCAATGTACATGGTTATGTACAGTGTATAAGCCAATGGATAGCATATCTAAATCAGGCCCTCGCTTTTTAACTGTTCAACGTCCGCTCCTTCTCATCCGCGTCGCATGCTTCTTGTTCTTACAAGCTCCTTCTCTCATCCCTTCCTACAGCAACACCCGGACTCTCACTCCATGCTCGTCCCTCTTGGACTCTGGGTTATGGCCGTGACCGTTTCCGTTCCTGTTTCGTAACCCGTTTTTCTCTCATCCACGTTGCTGTCGACCTTCGTCGGCTAGACTCCGCTCGCTGCCGCCCTAAACCTCGATCCGTGGCCCTCGGAGCTCTTCCCGCACTTCATCGCACTCTCACGCGAAGCCTGAATAGAGCTTGCTAATCCTCCTTCGCCTTGTACCCACTCGCTCTCGATTGTCACACAGACATCTTTCTTGCACCACCTACAGAACTCTAATAATTTCCGCCGTTCTCCAGTTCTTTATTAGTGGCTTGCCCCTCCACCATCATTGCATTCTCTGGACCTATACAGCTTTGTTAGATCAAGATACCCAATCTCCTTCTTCTCGCAGAGTAGTCTCAAGCAAACTCGGGAAACTCACCTTAATCAACAATGTCTTCTTCCTCCAAACCTCGCCAACCCCGACTCCGGGCCTCTTGCGACGGGTGCTTCTTGGCCAAGGTCAAGTGCTCCAAAGCAAGACCCATCTGCTCCAGATGCCTCGCATGCGGTCTCGAATGTCGCTACTCTCCCTCAAGCAGAGCCGGCAAGCCAAAGTCAGACAACAGCGCACCAAGCCACGCAAATACTGTCCACATGGATATGACCGACCTATCTCCCATCATGGACGAAAAGAACCTCATGTTCGGCCAACATCCCGGCATGTACAAGATGGAGCCTGGCTGGCATACGCCCACAAGTATGGACTCGGGGGCGATGAGCAGAAATCCATCAATCTCTTCTGGGCTCGCCATGCTCGGCGTCGACGACACAACCCCAAGAGACCACCAGGATCCGACAGCAGACATGTACGGAGGCGGCATGCCCTGGACACCGCCCACAGATTTCTCTGCTGCTCCATATCCCGATATGACAATGTCCACCGCACATATGGCCACCCATCATGGCCGCTCCCAGTCCATGGACATGGCCATGGCAGCCCACATGACACCGTGGGGAGACCCAACGCAGCATGACATGATGGCGTATACTACCATGCAGAATCCAAGCAACATGGCCGCCGCCGCATACTTCCCGAGCCCCTCAACAACACCCAACATGCGACCAGCTGTCCGACACAAGGCTTCATCGTCAGGAGGCGGAGGTTCCTGCACCTGCTTCACAGTGCTCTTGCAGTCCCTCCAGGCCCTACACAACGCCTCATCTCCCCAGGCGCCACCATTCGACCTCGTCCTCTCTCTCAACCGCAAGGCCGTCGAGGGATGCGCCGCCATGCTATCCTGCAACAGGTGCATGAGCCGCTCCGGCACTCACACGGCGGCGATGCTGCTGGCGACAGTCATTGGCAAGATTACAAGCTTCTACAAGAACGCCACGCACACCTACTTTGAGAACGGCATGGTGCCCGCGGTCAACCAGCTCAGTCCCGGCGGCGGGCTCGGCGTCAGTCTCGGCGCCTACACGCTGGGCGGCGAGGACGGCAGGTGGCTCGAGCTCGAGATTCTCAACCGCGAGCTTCGCAAGCTGGAGGAGGTCTACGCGCAGTTCCGCGAGGTCTGCGCTGACCTGTCAGAGGATCCTGAAGTCAGCAAGGCCATGATTGGCTACCTCGGCCACAACCTTGGCACAACTCTCGAGGTCGTCAGCCATCGCAAGGGCGACATGAGTTATGCTTAGTCAGGAGACCCAACAGTTCGGACTAAAGGCCTTGCAACTCAAACTCAAACTCAGAAAAACACCAGAGGAGGCAAGAGAAAAGTACAAAAATTTGGAATACACACAAAGAGCGCTGCCACGGATGAGCGGCGCTCACTCGATACGACTGATATGAGCATACACTACTTTTTCTTTTTCACCCTTCTTCTCTTGGAAGATTTCGGACGTCATTTACACGGGGGGTGAGAGGGCGGTGGGAGAGAGAGAAGGAGAGCCAGTTTTAAGACCTATGGAATCGACTATTGTACATTCTTGTCAGGCGTTTCACTGAATTTCCACTAGCTTTGGTTTCTTTTTTTATCGAGGAACGGCGCAACGAAGGCGTAAATCTTCTGGTTCATCTCTTGTCGTTTTTACTGCTTCCCCCCGGGGAGAGTCAACTTTCACTCACTTTGGGCGCATCTATCGGAAGGCGGAAGGGGGGAGACGGAGACCGGATAGAACCTCGGATTGGACGGCAGGAGGCAGAGGAAGGGGTTTGGATACCTGGAACAAATGGCAAAAAAGGGATGATTTTGCGTGTACCGTCAGATCGTCATCAACCTGTTTCTTCACCAATTTTGCACACACAAATCTTTGGACAACCCTATTCGACCGAGCTTTCCTCTCCGGTAAACTTGTCATCTTGCTTGGATTTCACTATTTTTCCCCCATGTATTTTCTCATAGCGGAATCTGTTATGGAGTTCATCCGGAAAGGGAAGCATCATGAATCATGCCGTCCAGCGCTTCGACGCCTTTTTTGTTCGGACGGCAAAAGTCAGTACCTAGTCAGTAGTCAGTAAGGCAGTTAGCTTATGGAGATGGTTCCTAGTTACGGACAGAAGTCTCCCAATAATTACACAATTCTTGAAAAATCAGGTGTCATCAAAATGTCATCATCGTTTCCTCACCAAGGCCATTCACCATACATGGACAACTCCCAATGTGGGCATCTAGATCTGACGCAAGGCCAGCCCTCGATCGCATTTCATGTCAGAACCCGAGACGCAAAGTGGGGTCCACTCGACTTCTCTCTCTCTCTCATTCTCTTACGCATTCTCAAATCTCGGAATCTCAAATCTGTTACGCATTCCTTTAGTCTCTTACTCAACTCTGAGGCTCTAGTCTCTAGGCAGTCGGTCATGGTCTAACAAGACATGCGGGTGCGCTATGCGAGGGCTATGCGAAGGCAGACAAGGGGGCAAACCATGGTAGGAGCAGCGGCAAGGAAGAAGGAGGAGGCTGGGTAGGTAGACCTTTGACACTTGGGACTTGATACCACGTGCATTTTAGTCAGGCAAAGAGTCAGGGTGGTTGCATGAGTCTCTCTGTGTCGCTCTGCGAAAAGTGTCGAAGTGGTTGCATTAGCCTTGCCGGGCTATCCAAAAATGCTCACTCTCTCTCACACACACGCACTTACACGTACACATTTACACACACACACACACACACACACACAACTCTCGGCACTGGCCGATTGATTTTCCCCGTTCCCCCACCCCGCCGCCGCCGCAGGCACCCCCTCTCCCGCTCCTCCTTCTCTTACAACACCACTCACACACACACACACTCTCTCTCTCTCTCTCTCTCTCACCTCATCCTCACCTCGACTCACCTCGACACTCGCATTCTCACCCCGGAACCAAAACAATTTCATCCGTCCGTTAACCCGCTCGTACACCACGTCACTGGCGCCGTTTCTTCTCATTTCTCCTGCAGCTTTCCCGTCCCTTCCGTCCATGCAACCAATCTTTGACGTCGCGGCGACTCGTGCCTTGTGCCTGGTGCCGATGCGTGTACGGTGACAAGTGGGCATCTATCTCTCTCTCTCTGCTTCTCCACTCCCATCTCAGTGTGTCTTCCTAGGCTTGTGATCTGTGGCTGACATGACGAGATGATGCTTCACAACACGGACGGTTTGGAGATGTCCGAGGAAGGACGTAAGGAATCGTGGCTTATATCATGCGCTCACGCGCGGGAATAAACGCAGCCTCGTCCAATGACATTTAAGCCTTGACCAGATCCCTCTCTGACTGCCCCCCTCCTTCAATTCAGCTTCTAAAGGGCTGATGAGGGGAGGGCAGCTTCAGAGTGCCAGGCTTGTGATGTTGGACACTGAGCCCCAGTGGCTTGGCCGATTGCCACCACACAAACTTCGCCGCGACAGGCAAGGAGGAATCGAAAGACGAATAATTCCCCGACGCAGGTTCCAGATTCGACGTCGAAGCAAGCCAGGGAAACACAAAACATCCCGTGTGACGTTTCGGTCTGAAGCTATCTCGGGCAGGTCCAGCTGAGAAGAAGGCATGATAAATCCGGTGTGGCAAGCCGTGTTTCCGGAGGAGGGCGCTAGGCATCCTCTCAGTGACAAAGTACCTGGCTGATGAAAGACTGAGGATTGTGTACCAGTCTCTTGAGTAAAGTTGCTAGAGTACGCGTATCTTGAGGCGAGGTCTCGGACGATTAGAGATCAAAAAGTTGAAGCAGGTGCCGAGGCTGAACAAGCTGGTGACAAATGAGAATGGATGAGAACAAGCACAAGCACTGGCTGTACCCTATGTTCATCTTGTAGAACAGTGCTTTTTGCTGACTGATGAACGTGTCAAACCAGTCTCCCGGAAGACAAGGAAGCACGGATAGTGATGATGGGAGGATTGAAGTTCTGACCTGCATGGGCATGAGGCAGCGGCGTGATCAGGAGACGGGTTAATTAGCTTCCAAGGACCGAGCTCTGTCGTGCCTCGAAGGTCATCTTGTCATGCAGTCCCAAGGGTTCTTTGACTCTGAGCCCCTCTAGGTGCTGCAGCGTCTTGTTTCTGGTCAGCTCTCCAACCAGATTCTTGGGATTTGGAGACGTAATTACCTTTCCGGGGGCAAATTCAGAAGAGAGGTATGGGTAGAGTACTGCCGAGAAAACGTGGGTGGGAATAAGCCAGTGGTCAACCCGTTTCATGAACTTGCAGCTCCGTTTAGGCCCCTCAGGGGCTGATCGACCAACAGGTCGGATGCCTTCATCCTGCAGGAACTCTCATAGGAAGAGGTTTCAACCGGTGGACGGGGAGTGGCGGGGAGGTACTGAAAAAGGCCGCGGAAGCTGATTCCGATAGGTGAGGGAGTGGCCGGCCTAATTGTTCAGACCAGGGCAATATTGTGCAAGCGCTCGAATGAATTTGGAGTGAACGTGATGATCGAATTCCGTTTCAAGTCGTGGATGGCAAACTGGAATATCCAGTGACAGTTAAATTTGGCGACATTAGTGGAGTCCTTTTGGGAATGAGCCGTGTAGGAAGGAGTAAATGAAGTGTCAGCCTGAAGTGTCAGCCGTAGGAAAAGCTCTGTGAGATCTATGCATCTCTGCATTTCACATGTAAAGAATGGTGACCATTCAGACGAGTGCAATCGGCCCAGAATCTCAGAGAGAGAAAGAGAGTCGGTGCTCTGAAAAGGTCTGTGATGGTGCAAACCATCAAGGGCGAAACGGCAACTTTGCTGTTCTGTGAGAGGCGTTCGTCCCTCGAAATGCTGGGATGGGAGTTGGAGAAGAAGCTTCTGAGTTGCCTAAATAGGCAATTTCGAAGAGAAACTGGCGAACGGTTGGTAGTTGCGCTTCATGTCGTTGATTCAAACCTCCTACTAGACTGCCGACGCCAAACGCAGCCACCCTTCTGGCCCCTTGTCTGGCGTCGAAGTGATCGTCTCCCCCACTCATCAACGGGGAAACGGCCGGCCACAGGTCGATCCGGAGATGCTTGTTGGCGAAGCAGCCTCCCGCATCCTCAAACCATGCTGCTTCATGGCTGTGATGGAGGTCTTAGATTCGTGCTTAACTCGTTTCTTTTAGCGCTTCGACTTCAGACTGTAGTCAGCGTTCGTTTTGACGAAATAGAGAGTTCAGCGCTATGTTCTCTTTTCTTTCAGAACGGGAATGGATTATTGTTGAACGTCATTGAAGCCAAGAGAACCCGAGTTTTTCTCCGTCAGCCATTAATCCTGTCGGTGTAGTACAAGGTCCAGGTAAGTTGATCTGGTGGGCCAATAGTCGACTTCGACATGTGTCAAGTATGGAGAGAGAGGCACCTCCAAACATCAGCTGCATACGGACGGTCCACTTGTCAGACTGCGGGACACAATGGCACAGCGTCCTGTGGCAACGGCAACTTTGACTTGGCGAGCAAGACGCAAGGCATAGGCTTTGGTGCTCGGTCTTTGACGAGTTTAGACATGGAGTCAACGTCTCCCACGTCGGTCGTAGCCCGGGGGAGGAATGTTCGAGTGGGCCTCGTGATAGAATCTCACTTCTGATCACACCCCTTTCCTACACTCCCTTTGATTCAAAGGAAGTTCGACTTAATCAGTTTGAATTGGATACTTCCACACGCGGTTCCGTACACAGGCGAGTTTCAAGCATAGGCAAGACTGCAGAACAGGCCACTAGTAGTAATTACGTGTGGGCAAAGTAGCGTCAAACTGGAGATGAATCAGTCGGTGACGATCAAAACTATTTGCATACAGCGGGGAAGCAAGGTATGGGCGTCTTATGCAAAGCTGAATCAATCGTTGGCTGTGGTTGTAATGGCGCGTACTTACAAGAGTGGACAACGGCGTGCAGAATGCCATGACTGCTGGACCGGGGCGATGTTTGGCCAGGTTCCAATTTTGGAGTCGGACGAGGAGGTTTGCAGCAAAGTCCACTCATAAAATCAGGCCATCGTTGTGCTGACAGTGTTCGAGATTGATTGGACGAGAGGCAGCGAGAAGACGTTGAGAATGCAGAGACTGGGGGATGGAAATGGCACAAAATGCGGAAGAAGAACAGACGTCAGTCCAGACCAACCCAAGAATACGTGGAGTCGTGGACTACGGCCGGGACCTTGCCAAGGAGGAAGGCTTAGTCATACCTGCTTGCCTTATCTCTCGCCCAAAGAGGTAAAGTGCCGGGGAAGTACCTTTGAAGTGGAAAACATCGATATCTCCGGCGTTGAAGCTGGTGATCTTGAGTAAGAACGAGGCACTGAGGTTACTGTTACTGAGTTTTCCCCCACCTCTTTCCTCCTCTGCCTAAACAGTCGAGTGGCAGGACAAGCAATTGGGTCGTCACTTCTTCGTGATGGAATTGAATTGGTGTGCAACCTTGCTGGGAGAACCCCTTGGCTCTTCCTCTCCCGCACCACCCACACCACAATCAGTCTCACTCCTTCATCATCGTCATCAGCTTCCAGTGACGGCTTCGAAGGTACCCTCATGACCCCATAGGC